GCCATCTAGAGGTACTATTTCCTCAAATTTTCTCACCTCAGCTCCAACCATTGTGGGGCCTGTCTCTTATACACATCTAGATGTGTATAAGAGACAGGCTTAGAGGCGTCCAGAATTTTGCGGTATATCAAATTTAACTTTATTATTATTATTATAATCGTCTTCATATAAATACTCCAAAATGAAGTGTGCAAAAAACAATTTTAAAAATAAAATAATTGTATATAATCTATTTGTAATCGAATAAAATTACGTATTAGATAAATAAATATATTGTTTAGAAAAGGCCGTCCTCCGCAAGTCGAAAATAGCATCGCAAACAGCCTACTCCTACCTTATTACCTGTAATTTTTATTATGAACATAGGAAGTTCACACACTGCCGCGAAAGGGCTGACTCGCATGATATGACGCACTTCCGGAAAAAACCGTTACAATTATGTAATGCAAAATACGTTAGCTGGTCGTTCTTCCTCTATCTATATTCTTTGTTTTGATGCACCCACCTTCATTTGCTAGAAAGACCACTGACGCTGAAGCTTTGATGCCATTCAGTTCTGTCCACATGTATTTCACACCGACTCTGCGTACACCAACATCTACATCAAATCTGAGTTCACATTTAAGTGCAGTAGGCTCCATATTAGAATTTTTACAGAATTCTGATGAGTGGGCAAAACCAGAAGTAAATATAGAATTGGCTAAAGGCCCTGGAAACTTTAACTCCTTTTCATCATAATGCGTCCCGTTGTCGTCCACCCATAAACCGACACCAAAATTGACGTTATCGTTGTTGTCATTATAGCCGGTGAATGCAAACAAATTCGTTGCTGTGTTACCGTCCACAATAAAGGACGAACTAAATGCTGTAATATCAGGTACCTTGTCTGAAATAATTGGAAGCGTATATATAACGTATATACATACATAGGTTAGAGTCTGGTAGGCTTATGTGCACGTATGGAAAAACATAATACTTTGAATGCTTTGACGGTTTTGTTATATTATTACAAAAACACATTTTACTAGTATACATATTATTCCACTCTGTGTTTGTAAATTTCAATAAGCGAAATCTACTTACCATTTGTTTTTCCACTAACCGTAGCCTTTGACACTGTACAAATAAATGTTAGAATAATTATTAAATAGTTTGATAGATTGCAGTATTTGTATTTTGATTGTATGATAACTAAGCTATGAGAATGGTTTCTAAGGAGAACATAGCAGGGACGTATCCAGGGGGGAAGCCGTGAGAGCCGCGGCTCCCCCCTCCCCTCCCCCTTTGTACACAGTGTTAAAATGTTAAAGCTTATTCTTGAGCCAATACAAATTCTTTCCTGGGATCACTTAAAATGAATACTTCTAAACATGTAAATATGCATCAGTACACGTTATACATAGGCCTAATAGAAAACATAAGCCTAAGCGTGATTTAAAAAAAAATCTTAAATCCATTAATCTCAGGCCAGGTCTTTTAAGATAGAAATGCGATACTGTGGTTCAATTTCGTTTTTATTCTTTTGCAAGTTTCTTTAAATGTTTGTTTAATAATACTACTACTAATAGTAATAATAATAATAACAATGATGATGATGTCGATAGCAATAATTGATATTAATATTAATAACAATAAAAAGTGAAGAAAATTGTGCTAAATGCGAAAAAAAGTTGTGATTTGTCGATTATAATATAGTATATATAGTTAAAGCTTAGTAAGCTATAATTAGGCCTAAGTTGTCCTGGATATTAAGTAGATTCCTGATAAAAGATCATGAGAAATTTGTTGGCGTTTCATTTTGACTATAATGGTAATGTGATGATGATGAATTTTATTATATAAAAGTGTCATTTCCGGCCATCTCGAGAGGTACTATTTCCTCAAATTTTCTCCATGGCTGGGGCTGAGGTGGTTGTGAAATCACGTTTTTGAAGTAGGCCTATGTAAAGTACATACTTAAAGACAATGTTTTTAAGCTTTGTTTTCTATGGTGTATATACACACATTAATAAGATCTCTATGGTTGTCAAAAACCCCTGATAAAAGATCATGAGAATTTCTTTTGGCGCTTCATTTTGACTAATGGTGATGTGATGATGAATTTTACTAAAAGTGTCATTTCTGGCCATCTAGAGGTACTATTTCCACAATTTTTTTCACCTCAGCTCCAACCATTGTGGGGCTGGGGTGGGTGTCGACTTACAAAATGCCCTCCCCCTCCACCTTTCAAAACAGATCTGTGCCCTTCCCTGGGTATGACATTAAACTCCATCGAGTCGGCTCCTGATGTATGTCTTAGTGACTGC